GTTTTGAAGGCTCAGCCGGAGACTAATGGACCTAGTCGTTCTCTTAGCCCACTAAGGATGTCCTTGTGAAGGATAACCCTAAATCAATCACCGAGGGTCATTGATTTTAGATAAAATAGTGGGAGGACCATATACGTTTAAAAGTCTTTGTATTTGGTTATTATCATGAAATACTAATGTAAGGTTATCTTTATTTTCAGAAATTGAGTTATGGCCGGAAATTTGAATTTACGCTCTATTCTGGATACTAACAAGTTAACTGGACCAAACTTCACGGATTGGTATAGGAATGTATAAATAGTTTTACGTTCTGAAAAGAAAGATATGTTATGGATTCTCCTGTTCCTGTTGCCCCTGCTAAAGGGCAAGATGGGTATGACCAGTATGACTGGGAAGCTCATAGACAACACTTGGCAGACAATGAGCAGGCAGTATATATATTGCTTGCGTCTATGTCTGCAAAGCTTCAGCGTCAGCATGAGCATATGGATGTTCCCTCCATAATCTTGCATCTGCAAGAGCTTTATGATTAGCAAGGGAGGGCTGAGCGTTTTGAAACCTCCAAGGAGCTGTTTGGCTGTAAGATGGCTGAGGGTATGGCGGTTGGACCGCACATCCTCAAGATGATTGGGCTGATAGAGAAGCTTCCTTCTCTGGGTTTTATCATGGATCATGGGCTAAGTGTTGACTTAGTCTTGCAGTCCTTGCATCTTCATATAATGGTTTTGTGGTCAACTACCATATGAATAAGGTGGAGACAACACTCCCAGAGTTATTGAATCTCTTGACCACTGTTGAGGGTGTTGCTAAAAGGAGCAGGGCCCAAGCTTTTCTGATTGGCGGGCCTAAAAAGACCAAGGGTAAGGGCAAGTCTGTAGAATCAAACAAGCTCAAGCCCAGAGGTCAGCCCAAGAAGAAGAAGGGCAAGGGCAAAGGGAAAGGAAAGGAGAAATCCAAGGACAATGCTAAAATTGTATACTTCCATTGTCAGAAGGAAGGACATTGGAAGAGGAACTGCCCATCATTCCTTGTGAGCCTAGATTAGGTAATCGATCCTATCTTTGGCATTGTAGATTGGGACACATTAATGAGACAAGACTGTCTAGACTCCATCATGATGGTTATCTGGATTCCATGGATTTTGAATCCTATGGACCTTGTGAGTTTTGTTTGGCTGGAAAAATGACGAAGACGAAGGTTGAGAAACTTGCGAGTCATAGAGCCAATGAGTTACTAGAACTCATTCATTCTGATGTTTGTGGGCCCTTATCTACTCAAGCTAGAGGAGGATACTCCTATTTCATTACCTTTACTGATGATAAGTCCAGATACGGATATGTGTATCTTATAAGACACAAATCCGAGGCCTTTGAAAAGTTCAAAGAGTATAGAAATGAAGTGGAGAAACAACTTGGCAAGATGATTAAGACACTTCGATCTGATCGGGGTGGCGAATATCTGAGTCAATAGTTTCAGGATTATCTAAGTGAGAATGGGATTCTCTCACAGTTGACGGCTCCTTACACACCACATTAGAATGGTGTGTCAAAGAGAAGGAACCGAACTTTGTTAGACATGGTACGGTCTATGATGAGTGGTACGAAGCTCTCAAAATCATTTTGGGCATTCGCTCTGCATACGGGGTTACATCTTCTTAATAGGGTACCGTCGAAATCTGTTCTGACTACTCCATATCAGATATGGAGGGCCCAGAAACCCAACTTGAGTTATCTCAAGGTATGGGGTTGTCCAGCTTATGTCAAGACTCTAGCACCTGAAAAGTTAGGAGCTAGAAGCACCTTGTGCTACTATGTAGGATATCCCAAAGAAACTAAGGGATACTACTATTACTACCCTGAGGACCAAAGAGTTATTGTGTCCAAGAATGCTGCTTTTCTTGAGGAAGACCTTCTTTTTCAAGAAGATAGTGGGAGTAAGGTAGAACTTGAAGAAATTCAAGACCTACAAGAACAGATAAGGGAACCCGAGTCTGTTGATCAGGCGATGCCTCGACTGGAGGCAGTAGACACCCAGCCCCGTAGGAGCACTAGGTTTAGTCATCCACCTGAGAGGTACGGTTTTGTGATTGAGAATCAGCAGACCGTTGAGGATGACGAGCCTGCTTCCTACAATGAGGCAGTCAAGGATGCTGACTCCTCAAAATGGCAAGAAGCCATGGAATCTGAAATAGATTCGATGCATCAGAACAAGGTATGGACTTTGGTTCCACCACCTGAGGGCATAGTTCCTTTTGGGTGTAAATGGGTTTTCAAGAAGAAGACTGATGTTGATGGCAACATCCAAACCTATAAAGCTAGGTTGGTAGCGAAGGGTTACCGTCAAAGACAAGGAATTGACTTTGAGGAAACCTTCTCACCTGTTGCCATGATCAAATCTATTAGGATCATGCTAGCGATATCCGCATATTATGATTATGAAATTTGGCAAATGGATGTCAAAACAGCCTTCTTGAATGAGTTCTTGAAAGAGGAAGTGTATATGACACAACCTGAAGGTTTTGAATCCAAGAGTCAAGAGCATATGGTATGCAAACTTCAAAGGTCAATATATGGGCTTAAGCAAGCTTCCAGGAGTTGGAATCTTCGTTTTTGATGAAGTCGTTAAAGATAACGATTTTATCAAGAATGAGGATGATCCATGTGTCTATAAGAAGGTTAATGGGAATGTTGTTGTTTTCCTTGTGCTATATGTAGATGACATATTGCTCATTGGAAATGACATTCCCATGTTACGGTCCACAAAGGTTTGGTTGTCTGAGAACTTCACCGTGAAGGATATGGGAGAGGCAGCCTATATACTAGGTATTAAGATCTATAGAGATAGATCCAAAAGGTTACTGGGATTGTCCTAATCCACGTACATAGACAAGATGCTAAAGAGGTTTAGCATGGATGGGTCGAAAAGGAGTTTTCTTCCAGTCGGTCATGGCATTCATCTCTCTAAGACTATGTGTCCTAAGACACCTGTCGAAAGGGAACGCATGGAGAGGGATATGCATCAGCAATTGGATCCATCATGTATGCCATGATATGTACTAGACCAGACGTCTCTTATGCTTTAAGCATTACGAGCCGATACAGTCTGACCCTGGAAAGAGTCACTGGAAGACAATCCTTAAGTACTTGAGAAGGACTAAGGGTTTGTTTCTGGTTTATGGTGGAAGTAATGAGCTGATAGTGAAGGGGTTCACTGATGCAAGCTTCCAGAGTGATAAAGACGACTGTAAATCTCAGTCGGGCTTTATATACACCTTAAATGGTGGAGCAGTTTCTTGGAAGAGTTCCAGGCAAGAGACCACGACAGACTCTACTACTGAGGCAGAATACATAGCGGCTCCAGAAGCGGCTAAAGAGGCAGTCTGGATCAAGAAGTTCGTTGCAGAACTTGGAATGGTTCCGAGCATTGTTGATCCAATACCTTTGTATTGTGATAACACTGGTGCTATAGCCCAGGGCAAGGAACCCCGGTTTCATCAAAGATCCAAACATGTGCTCCGAAAGTATCACCTCATCCGAGAGATTATTGAAAGAATGGAGATAAAGATGGATTACGTCCCCACTGATGATAATTTGGCCGATTCTCTGACGAAGGGTCTCTCCCAGAGAAAACATGATAGTCATTATGAGTCTTTAGGTTTGACACGTCGACCTGATTGGCTCTAGGTCAAGTGGGAGATTGTTAGTATACAGGTGTCCTAGAGACAATCTGTTTTATCAGATGCACACCTTTTTCTATTTGGTATATCATGATTAATAAATTTGAGCAAACTTTATCTTTATCATATTTATGTCTCGCCAATATTTTATTGGTAATATGCGTTTAAAGATAAAGACCCTAGGAATAGAGCAGGTGTTCACTCGGGGATCTATGATAGGGATCATGATCATGAGGACTCGAGGACACTGAATGTCTATTACCTAAAATTTGTTCCTGGTCTTAAATCACCAAGAAAGGGTATTGGTGATCTCAATAAGACTAGTACGACATCATCTACTTGTATGGAGATACAAGGTAGGGACCTCATGGAATGCAGGCATGGTGATGCCTTAGCTGATGTCGTGGGTGGATCTGTTGGAGAACAGATAGCATTGAACTGACCCGCTTAGAGACTCCACAAGGATTCATTATGGAGAGTATCATTGGATTTGTAAAGTTTCTGAACGTTTGGTAGTGCAGGATCGTCCTAGACTTAAGGATGTCATCGAATACTATGTGTTAGAGTTATACTTTGATTGTACAACTCTATCCGCCTGAAAATGGGGAGATGTAACACCCTCCCTTGTATGCATCCAAGAGAGTTGTTTGCTAAGCGGATTAGAGACTTAACGTTAACGTGTGAAATTCTCGTTTAGTAAAAACTTTTTCATTTAATATCAATTAGAAAAGCTTGCTTAGACACTGACTTGGAGAAATAAAACAGCAAGAAAATTCAAAAAGGCTTCCGCTGCGAAACTCTGATTTTTCCCGAAAACGATCTGTCTTGAAAATATTATAAAAAATCCGAGTACAAAAATTTACAAAACTCTTCTTTGCTACTAAGAAACTAGACATCTGGGGCTTCGCGTACATATAAATTATACGCAAATCGGAGGTCTCTAGACCCATGAAACGGAACTCGCAAGTTCCTCAAAAATTCAGTGTATTTTCATAAAAACCTCCTGACTGGTAAAATTTATAATAATTCGAGTTTTCAAAATTTCATTGTAAGGGTTACATAATCTGAAAGTACACAGCTGGGGCTTTGCATCCATATAAAATATACCTCAATCGAAGGTCCGTAGCCCCAGAACGACAACTCGCAAAGTGCTCGCAAATCCGTTTAAAAATCAGCATATAGTAAAATGTTCAGAGATTACTTTCGCACACATTTCAGAATTTTTCCAATGTTACCAACTGATCATAAAGGTCTTAAAAACAGAAACAAAATCATAATCCAATTGTAATCCAAGCTACTCAATTGAATACAGTCATACATCAAACATCAGCAACAACAATAGTCTATACAGCAGCAAATAACAGCAAAAATCCAATTAAACATGTCTTCAAATGCTCTTTCGTCTTCCTGCCATTTTGTAAAAATAGCAGCCCCAAAGGGGTGAGAAAAATCCCAGTAGTGTGGCAGAAAATCCAATATTGCAACAATATTAATTTAAATCCAGAATTTCCAACATTGTCACATCATCGAATAAATTCCGAACAGATATTAAATATCATCAGAGTGCGTATATAACGCCAGAATACTAATCAAGTGCGTATATAACGCCAAGTACTAAACAGAGCGCGTATATAACGCCAAAGTACTAAACAGAGCGCGTAAATAACGCCATAACACATGTCCATAGCACTAAGGTGCACATGCTAACAGAACTCCAAGTGATATTCTTTTTGGCTCACAGAACTGAATATCCAAGGAACCTATGCGCACGGAGCCAGGTTGCTCTTGCTGGGTACCTTCGGCATGCCTAGATGATGCGTGCTCAAACGTATGCTTAGTTTCATAATATATTTCTGTTTCCAAAACTGTATGTAGATGGATGCATGAGATGCTATGTTTTGCTTCACACACACATGATAAGATGCAAAGTTATGATGTTCATGCTCCTCCTCATCAGTCATAGTTCACATGGACTATGCATCATACTTTCAAATAGCATGTGTATACAAAGCAGAATCTTTCTCAAGTCATATTCAAATCAGATTTCACATGCCTTCAAACAGAATCTTGTTACGGAAATATGAGAGCAACAAATCAAAAATTCCATAATCTAAACTAATAGTCACAATAGGTTTAACCACCTAACACTTACCTTGATACTTTAGCTTTTTAACCAAGCAGTCCAAACATCAACAAACAGCCCAATTATTTGGGACCTTGCGCACCTAAACAAACATATACACCAAATCAGAATTTACCTCTATTTTTCCTATGATTTACAATCAGTTCCCATGCTCCCTAACCCTTAGGTTTAATCAAGCACCCTAACGAAAGATACATTTTAAGGGCCTACACATGCAGGTTCGGTTTTCATAATTACTAGGTGCCTATAAATTCATCTTAACAAAACTCTACAATTGTCATTTAATCACTGTTAATTAAATTATACATTACACATGGTGTCTATATAAATTCAGAGTATGCACAGCTAGGTGAAAAATACTAATTCAACCGGACAGCCCCAAAGCATAACAAAGGGTTATTTTCCAAATTCACAAAATCTATTTCGGCTTGCTGTACCAAAGTTCATGGCTGATCTAATGATTAAAAACAAAAGAATATAACTGACACAAGTTTACTCTTTCTAGGACACACATATAAACCGAATAAATAATGAGCAAGGAGGGGTTTTATGTTTGGCTTATATTATCCTCGTCATTAATCATACATATTCCTTAATTAATCTTATCCTCTAAGACAATGATTCAAAATTAACATAGATATTCAATTGACAATAACTCATGTTCTTTCAATTAATAGCAATTAACAAAATCCTAAGGTTCATACAATTTCGGTTTTCATAGGTTGTTACTATTACATACAGTGTTTGACAACACTAGTTCAATTTGACAACACTAGTTCAATTGCTAGCAAACACCAAGTCCCTAGGTGACCTAAACAGAGAAGGAATTGAATAACACAATTTTACAGTTTCTAAACATATAGGGAGCGTCCAAAAAGAATTATGAGAAGGAATGACAAAGTAGATATGTTCCCCTTTTTAAGCTCCGGCAAAGACTAACAATCCCTTTTTTTTTATTTTATTTTAATCTATAAACAGTTCAGCCAGATATTCACCCAGCAGAGGGAACACATATATTTCAAGCTCTACCATTTTAGTTTTGTTTGGTTACTTAGATTCATTTGCATCAAAGCTAATAGCTTTACGGTGGTACAAAAATAAAAGGGAGTGACAACAAAATGTTCCCTAAACTAGAAGCAGAGGCAGAACCGAACAGCAAGAAGTAATTGAAAACAAAATATGTATCTTCCTATAACACACCCACAGCCGAACAATTAGGATTAGAGGAAACTTAAAGTTTGGTTGTTAACTTCTTCCACGCAACCATGTTCCTCCTAAAATGAATGCAGAAAACAGTCACCAAATTTTTGGAGCATCATCACCGCCTCTCACCATGCCAAAGAGTTAAAACAGAAATAAGACAAAGGAGCAGTTCACATCACGTATCTCATGAGCTGAAACGCTGAAACTAGAAACAGAGAAAGTGGGAAAGGCTCACTTGTTCTAATTTCTAATGGATGATAGTGTAAAATTTAGGATGACCACTTTCCCTAGTAAGCATCGTGCCTTCAGCTGCATGTAATGGGAGGGATAGCCCAACCATTGCTGGACCTTAAGCTTGCTACAATGGAGAAGAGTTTAATCAGAACCAGTCAATGAAGAAGGGCACGAATACATCAAAAGGGATCCCTACCTCCTAAAAGTTTCCCTTCAACCGAACAAGAGAAAGGAGTGAAGGATGGGTTTGTATGACAGTCCCTTGGCTATTGTTCATTGTCGAATCAGTGAGGAGAACAAGAATGATATTTCTCCTCTCAAAGCTCACGGTTTTTGGTGCAGCTCTTGGAAGGAATTTTAACTTGCAGTCCATTAATTTTTTTTTCCTTGATATGGTTCACGGCTGGACAAGGGGGAAAAGAACTTTATTTAGGCTTCACACTCCTTAATTTCAGCATGCAAGGTCGAACAAGGGGAGAAGAGGGTAATCTCCTTCTTGGCTGTTACACGGCTTGGAGAAATGGATGAAGGTGGCATCATGGCTGAGTGTGATTCGAAATTAATGTGACCAAGGATCTGCTTGTTGCTTCTTCTACTTGGTTGGAGCAAGGGAAAAATCGCAGGTTGGGAGGACAGATTCCCTCTCGGTTGGGTGAAGTAAAAAGGGAAGATGTGTTGGCCAAAATCTAATTCAAAGGTGCAAGGAGGGAAGAACAAAAATAATAAAATAGTAAGATAACCTTTGGCCCTTATTGGGCGCTAGGTGATGAGATTGTTATTGACCAATTGGCTTTCATGCATTCAGATTAGGGAAAAGATAAACTAAAGGTTCCAAGATGGGAAAAGGTATGGGCTGAATTAATTCATCCTACAATGCTCTTGGGCCATCGCCCCACAATTGAAAAGGCCTCACAAGAGAATGTCCAAAACATACATACTTCATGTACAACCCACTACCACATATTTCATATACCTTCTAATTTTATTTTATGTTAAAACTAATGTCTTTATACATTATGATTAAGTTAATTCCATCCCTTTTTAACTAGAGTTTGGATGCTTAAAATAATTATATTTATATACTCGCTCCTAATTGTCATCAAATAATTTTCCTTACTTGAATTAGATCCACCCTAATTATGTATATATATATATATATATATACATATTTATATATATAAATTTCGAATTATAACCCTGCTTCCATATTCCTGATGAAAGTTTATTCAAATTCTTTAATCCGTGGGATTTTACAGGAGAACAGTGTACTCTTGGGTATAACTCGAATACATGAGTATAGATGGACATGCCGAAAGGACTCACAATCCCCTATAAGGGATTAGTCGTTCACAAAGACCGGTAGGGCTGAGATGACTTCTAGTTGACTCGGGAATCTATGCATAGTAAGAGATCATGAAGAGTCATGATCTGTCTTAGAGTCAATAGAAGAAGATTCCTAGTTCCTGTGAAATATTATATTTAGTCAATAAAGAGAGATTATACTCTATCCTTGCTCTCGACTAAATGTGAATGACGATGTGAGGGATAATACTGGCACGGTATCCAAATCAGAAATGTAGATCACTTGATCAACTCAATTAGTTCTGGGGCTACAGAGCATTGCTAGTGTATCATGTAGTCATTAAATGGATTGGGTCTTTTAAAGGTGTTTAAATGGTTCAAGTTTATTTGTCAGTAACTAATTGGGCCTAATGGGTCACACACAAAGGTTATTCCTTATTGCAAGTTATAGCAAGTTTGGACCAATAATGAGTTATTGGGCTTTGTCAAGACTATGAGTCAAGTTGGGTTGGAGTAGGGACTCCAAGCCCACTTGATCCATGCGCCCTTTTGGGGCATTAGTGGTGAAAGAGTTTCCTCCACTAATAGGCCCAAATATGATGATAGGCCAAAGAAGCCTTGGGGCATGGATCCTAGTAAGTCAAAAAGTTGACTTGGCAAAAATAAGGTTTGGGCAAATTTGAAATTTGAATTTTTGAAATTTGAAATTTGAAATTTGAAATTGAATTTGAAATTTGAAATTTGAAATTTGAATTTCGAATTACGAACTTGGATAAGATTGAATTTATGTTTAAGTTTAAATTTCAAATTTGAATTTGAAATTTGAATTTCAATTTTAAATTCTACGAGGTTAGATTGTTGAGAATAATTTAAAATTATTTAAAGGAGTAATCCAATAGAGATTGGATGAAGATTCTCTCAACTACTCTTTCATTTGAATTCGGAATTTAAATGAATACCGTTGCAAGAAAAAATTTCTGAGGAAAGGAAAGGTATTAAAGGGGCGCATAATTTAAAGGAGTGAATCAGGGAACGTCCATCTCATCATTCAATATGTGCGCCTAATTAAAGGTGGCTGATGAGGGGCGCCTAATCAAGGGAGAGAATCAAGGAAAGTCTCTCTCATCCTTTTAATGTGTGCGCCTAATTAAAGGGAGCTGATGTGGGGCGCATAATGAGATGGAGAGAATCAAGGAAAGTCTCTCTCATCACTTTAACTTGTGCGCCTAATCATAGGAGGGGCTTATGTGGTTGATCAGTTTTTTTATAAAAACCTGATGCATCATCTCTCCTATGTGTGTGTAGAATTCGAAAAAAAAAAAGCTCCAACCTTTCCTTCCCTCTCTTGTTGCACCATCACCTAACCTCAAGACACCATTATAGTCTTGAGAAAAATAATCCAAACACTTGGTAGCCTCTACCTTGCATGCGCCTAGCCAGCCACCGAGGATAAGGAGGGATCAAGGAGAAAGAGTTCTCGTTTGCAAGAAGGAGATAATCGTGTGGATCACCATTGGAGGGCGTCATCTTTTTGCGCCTACAAGTGTAAAGGTAATTCTGAAACCCTATTTCGTTTCAATGAAAAGCATTCATACATAGGGTGTATAAAAACAAAAAAATTTCGCAGCGAAAGCATAGACCATCTATAGACCCCATGTATGAATGCTTTTCGTTGAAACGAAATAGGGTTTCTAAATTACCTTTACACTTGTAGGCGCAAAAAGATGACGCCCTCCAATGGTGATCCACATGATTATCTCCTTCTTGCAAACGAGAACTCTTTCTCCTTGATCCCTCCTTATCCTCGGTGGCTGGCTAGGCGTATGCAAGGAAGAGGCTACCAAGTGTTTGGATTATTTTTCTCAAGACTATAATGGTGTCTTGAGGTTAGTTGATGGTGCAACAAGAGAGAGAGAAGGGTTGGAGCTTTTTCTTTTTCGAATTCTACACACCCTAGGAGAGATGATGCATTAGGTTTTTTATAAAAATCTGATCAACCACATAAGCCCCTCCTTTGATTAGGCACACAAGTTAAAGTGATAAGAGAGACTTTCCTTGATTCTCTCCATATCATTATGCGCCCCACATCAGCTCCCTTTAATTAGGCACACACATTAAAAGGATGAGAGAGAATCAAGGAAAGTCTCTCTCATCACTTTAGCTTGTGCGCCTAAGCATAGGAGGGGCTTATGTGGTTGATCAGTTTTTTTATAAAAACCTGATGCATCATCTCTCCTATGTGTGTGTAGAATTCGAAAAAAAAAAAGCTCCAACCTTTCCTTCTCTCTCTCTTGTTGCACCATCACCTAACCTCAAGACACCATTATAGTCTTGAGAAAAATAATCCAAACACTTGGTAGCCTCTACCTTGCATGCGCCTAGCCAGCCGCCGAGGATAAGGAGGGATCAAGGAGAAAGAGTTCTCGTTTGCAAGAAGGAGATAATCGTGTGGATCACCATTGGAGGGCGTCATCTTTTTGCGCCTACAAGTGTAAAGGTAATTCTGAAACCCTATTTCGTTTCAATGAAAAGCATTCATACATGGGGTGTATAAAAACAAAAAAATTTCGCAGCGAAAGCATAGACCATCTATAGACCCCATGTATGAATGCTTTTCGTTGAAACGAAATAGGGTTTCTAAATTACCTTTACACTTGTAGGCGCAAAAAGATGACGCCCTCCAATGGTGATCCACACGATTATCTCCTTCTTGCAAACGAGAACTCTTTCTCCTTGATCCCTCCTTATCCTCGGTGGCTGGCTAGGCGTATGCAAGGAAAAGGCTACCAAGTGTTTGGATTATTTTTCTCAAGACTATAATGGTGTCTTGAGGTTAGTTGATGGCGCAACAAGAGAGAGAGAAGGAAAGGTTGGAGCTTTTTCTTTTTCGAATTCTACACACTCATAGGAGAGATGATGCATCAGGTTTTTATAAAAATCTGATCAACCACATAAGCCCCTCCTATGCTTAGGCGCACAAGTTAAAGTGATGAGAGAGACTTTCCTTGATTCTCTCTCATCCTTTTAATGTGTGTGCCTAATTAAAGGGAGCTGATGTGGGGCGCATAATGATATGGAGAGAATCAAGGAAAGTCTCTCTTATCACTTTAACTTGTGCCTAATCAAAGGAGGGGCTTACGTGGTTGATCAGATTTTTATAAAAACCTGATGCATCATCTCTCCTATGAGTGTGTAGAATTCGAAAAAGAAAAAGCTCCTACCTTTCCTTCTCCCTCTCTTGTTGCGCCATCACCTAACCTTAAGACACCATTATAGTCTTGAGAAAAATAATCCAAACACTTGGTAGCCTCTTCCTTGCATGCGCCTAGCCAGCCACCGAGGATAAGGAGGGATCAAGGAGAAAGAGTTCTCGCTAGCAAGAAGGAGATAACCGTGTGGATCACCATTGGAGGGCGTCATCCTTTTGCGCCTACAAGTGAAAAGGTAATTCTGAAACCCTATCGTTTCAACGTAAAACATTCATACATGGGGTGTATAGATGGTCTATGCTTCCGCTGCAAAAAATTTTTGTTTTTCCACCCATGTATGCGCACCATAGTATGACTATGGTGCAGTCTTTCGAACTATCAAGTCCTTCAATATCTTATCTGCTTCAGATTAGGGTAACATACAGGGGAGTGCTGCTTGGAAAAAGATTAGATGATTAAATTGCCAAAAACTTTGAAAGTAAGAAACCTCGATTTAGCAAAAATAATAGATACAAGACGTCATCAGAATCATTCAACCCCACCAATAAAAAATTAACTGAAACAAGTTCTCTCAACACAATCCTTACTTATTCTTCAACTCATCAACACTTGAAGAAAGAAAACCAAAAAATATTAAATAGTATTATCACATGACTTATATCGTTTAAAAAAAAGTGAAGGAAACAAGATGTATAATTGAAAAAAGGATTAGCGCATATGGCTAAAAGCATTATTGGACTTCCTTCAACCACGGAAGGATGGATATGCACTGAAATCCTAATACACCAAAAACTATATATCCCAAATTTAGACCAATTGGTGAACCCCAAACATGCAAGGCTGATTCTTATATTCTGACTGGTAAGGATACAAATGGATAGCAATTAAAAATATACAGTGCCCCATATAAATCGTGATATCAAACTTTAATCTTCAGACTACTTTTGGAATGCTAGACATAAGATATATTTAGGAAAATAAAAGAATACAAAATCCTAAACTATAGTCCACACTGAGTCCAGTTTTCACAATATAAAACCCAGTCCGGCTGCTAGAGGAAAGAAAATTTAAACAACTAGATAGTTATAATCAGAAACCGAAGTTGACAATTCATACCCCCATATAAAACCATTAACTTCTAAAAATGGCAAACATAACCAAGCAGTTAGAAAATTTTAAATATATACCTCAAAAACAGTTAGAAAATTGAACTATATGAGCTGCAAAGTATTACGTTCAAAAATATATATCTTATACTAGTTAAATCATAAGATCTCGCTGCTTTGTCTTCCTTGTCATACCCACCTGGCATAAAATGAAACGAATATTTATTGTGGATTAATTTCTCTATTCCATTAATCATGAAGGGGAAAAAAGACAAATAAATGGGGACTGGAAAATAATTCCAAAGAAAAAGTGTAACATCCCGCGAAAATTAGAAACATATATAAACTGCCTTGAGTAATGTTAGTACATGTTTTAAATTCGAATTGTTTGTGGATACACTTAGGATGGAATTAAATTGAAGTAGGAAAAGTATTATTGGAATATCTCACTCATTATGAAAGTTATATAAATTTTAGTTAAGGACATGGAAGCATGGCTTAAACTCGAATTATATTTATAAAATTAAGGTGGACCTTATATTACAATAGGAAAATTATTTAACTACAAGTAGGGGTGATTATATATTTTAGGAATTCAAAACCCTAGTCAAAAGGATAGGAGAACCTTTAAGACATTAATTCTGAAACCATTCTTCCCTTGAGGGCCGATCAGCCCAAATGTCTCATGGTGGGCCTTAAGCAACCCAAAAGCCCTTCCATCCTTGCACCTCCTTTTCGTGCCCATGAGTAGAAAAAGAAGTCTGATCATATGTATAATCCTTATTGGCCCACTCTTTATGCATGAAATTCTATTGGTTGGAAATCATACATCTTTTATTATCATTTCTTCCTCCAATCGTGCGTACAATGAAGAGATAACAAGTCTGATAGTTGTTTTAGTTTTGACTGAACCTCAATACCGATTGTGAGGCCATCGTGTTCCCCCTCCTTCTTCCTAGGCATTGTAAAAGTAAGTCACAGGGCTACTTGCTAACTGTTTAGTATCCCTTATAGTCCCAATTGCTTTCCAAAACCGTGGACTCAATAGAAGAGCACCGTGAAACCAGAGTTTAACTCATTCCATTCATCGCCCCACCTAGACCGTGAGTCTTTCAAGAGAGAAATTGTCATCTAAGTCCCCATAGTTATTCCTTCCCCATTCGGCTGAGGATCCACATGCAATAAGGTGAGATGTTCGCCCATTTTCTGGTTCCCTCCTGCGCGACTTGGTCCGATTAAGTTCTCCTGGTGTACGCATGCCTTGGGTTCGATTCGAGCTGTCTCCCGTTGCATGCAGAGCGTGTCCGAAATTCAGCATTTGTCCCTCTGTCTCACTTGTGCGCAGCCTAACCCCAACACTAAGGAGATTGAAATCCAACTTCTGCTCACCACCTCACTGCCCCTCTTGGGTTCGGCTGATGACCCTCACATAAGGAGGTAAACTTTCCCTTTCTTACTTATATCTCATACCTGAATCAGTCCGGAGTGACCTTTCTGAAAGTAGAATTGGCCTTGAAGGCCGAAACATGCGTGAGGGAAAAACAAAATTTTTCGCAAGCGGAACACACATGCATATCAAGATACATACTTTAAGACGTATGTCATACCTTGTTCGTGAAAACTCAAGATGATCAAGGTAGGTCTGAAGGGTTCAGACCCTCTAACGTTGATCCACACCATCCGCGTCTAGATACAGGAACTCCTTCCTGTAAGGTTGCCGATTGATCACCACAATATGGCTTGCTATGCGCTCAGTGTGTGATGCAAGAGGCTAGGTAAAAGTGTTTAGAAGAGTGAAGTGTTCTAAGAGAAAACCTCACAAGGGGCGCATAGATGAGTAGAGAAAGGCTTGGCTTTTTCACTAAAACCTAAGGAGGAACTAACTCCTCATTGAGTACACAAGAGGAGCCTTTTAAGTTTCAAAAACAAATCAGATTTTTCTCCCAAAAATCTGATCAAAAGTGGTGCCATTGGGGAGAGAATAAGTGGAGTTGTTACATTTCAAAAATTGCCAACAACATCCCAGAATATTCTCATGAGACTAAGTTCAAAACCTAGTCAGAAATCTGATCATGAATCATCATATAATCAGCTATATGGTGCGCCCCATATAGCCTAAAAGGTGACCAGATACATTTGAGTTAGTTGCATTTCAAACTTAAATCAACTCACTCAAATATTCTCCCAATAGACCGTATCTTTTGGAGCTAATTTTGATGATCAAATCTAGCCAAAATCAGCACCCCATTATCCTTGGATTATGTCTAAAAGATCTCCTCCTGATATGTTCCAACAAGATCTCATCTTATCCTTTTGTTATGAAACAACTTTTCATAGCCAATTCAAATTTGAATTTCAAACATTTGAATTCAAACTTTCAAACACTTAAATTTTAAATTTAAATTCAAATTTCAAAAGTCAAATTTCAAAATTCAAATTCAAATTTCAAATTTCAAAATTCAAAATTCAAATTTCAAATTTCAAATTTCAAATTTCAAATTTCAAATTCAAAATTCAAATTTCAAAATTCAAATTCAAAATTCAAAATTCAAAATTCAAATTTCAAAATTCAAATTTCAAAATTTAAACATTTGATAATTAATTTAACTAATTAAATTAATTAGTAATGTCTTGGACTATCCAAGCCCATTACTTTGATCCATGCGCCCTCCACCCTATCTGTGGAGTTCCAAACTACTTCTTGGGCTAATAACAATTGTTAGGCCCAATACCTTTAATGCTAGAGCATCTAGACAATTAGATGTTAGTGTGTGACCCATTAGGTCCAACATAGTCACTGACATAAATGGGCTTGGGCCCAATAAGCCCACAACCCATCTAATGACAACACAGAGCACTAGCAATGTTTTGTTGCCCCAGAACTAGTTAGATTAATGACTTGATCATCCTATTACACATATTTGGGTTGCTGTATATATTTCCTTTCGTCTCGGTTACCTTCCCATAAAACCTAGGGTAAGGAAGCGTATCAACCTCTGCGGTTTAGGGTAAGCTTTATTCGAAATAGGGAATCTTCAATTTACAGACTCTAAAGGCAGATCATCTCATGATCTCTTTTACTATGCATAGATTCCCGAGTCCCTGTAAATGTCATCCCGATTTCTCCGGTTTACAGATAACCTAATCTCTCACAGAGATTTGACGAATTCCTTCAGCTTATCACCCTAGCCCTGTGTTCTTTCAGGACAAGCCCAACAGTATACCTATGAGTCTCCATGTTTCAGGCAGACGAGGTGCACAATCAAAGCATGCCTTCTAGAACACAGTCTAGGTAATAACTTCTGGTCTTAGGAAAGACATACCCAAATATAAAGAGACTACTCTAATGATATTCTCTGTGAGAGTTCCTCATAGAGTCTCTTTGTGGAACTGTTCAGTGCGAGCTATACCCTTATAGGTCCACCCACGACTTTAGCTAAGACATCTCCATATCTGTAGCTCATGAGGTCTTTACCTTGCATCCAAATACAAGTAGATAAGTCGTGCTAGTCTTACCCGAGATCACTGATCCCCATTCTCAGTGTCTCTAGACTAGGAACATAAAATTAGGAATAAACATGCAGTATCCTTGAATCCTCATGATCGTGATCTCATCACAGATACTCAAGAGATACCTATTTTATTCCAAGGGGTTTATCCAGTTACTCATATAAATATTAATAGTAATATTGAGACAAAATATGAAACAGGATAAATAGTTCTTTTATTTGCGACAATATAAAAGGTCTACATATATCCTAATCTAATCAAAAGATTGTCTCTAACATCCATATACTAACACTTTCCTTCTGCATGCAACCGATTGGTGTTGAATTAGTTTCCTTTCTATTACGTGCAGAAAAAGAACCTGACCTCTTGGAACTTAGGAAGACATAGGACCGCCTCTGTTCTATTCATGATTGTGGCGTGTAAGCGAAAAGGTACTAATATAATTCGTACATTACTCTTTGCTTCGGTCTGCATGTAAGATTTAGGAGGAGAAGTATTGTCATATATGTTCCTTGTTTCTGCTCCCTGGACCGTACGATTAACAAAGGTATGCAAGCATTAATGGCAAAATTACTTGAGCATGGAACTTGGCTCAGCTAAAGTTTAGAAGCTGCACTTTTGAAATAAACAAAATATTTAATTTTGCTTGAGTAGGAAAACCGTATGTGTGTGTATAAATTGAGAGGCTAGATTTTTGTTGTTGTGTTCTCATTACCTCTGCCTTGTGAATAGTCTTGATAATAATTATGCAAAAATAAAATAAAAAAGGAATGATTTTGAACTTAGTATAATGCAGTGTTAGTTTCAGAACTGCTCATGAAGTTAACATCAAGTAGTTAGACTCTACAGGTGTTTAGAAATAAATGGACAGCCTGCTTTAGGCCTCATGCTAGCGCACACCTATTTTAGGAGAATTGTTGTATGGACCAGAAATATTAGGAGTAATATTACCCTTTGTGACTGCTGGCTAGTACATGGATTGTGAACTGTTGCTCTCATGTTTTGGATCTGGATTCTGTATACGATATTCGCATTTTGTTCATGGATATAATATGCTGGATATTCTGTTGAGGGGAATAATTGTTATACAGCATTCTGATATTCGAATCCATGAGATATATGTATCTTGATTATTATCTAGTCATGCATATACACCTCATAATGCATTTGTTTCTTTTGTGTGTGAAGCATATCATGGCATACATGCACCAATTTCATGCTGCACATGGACTAAAATATTTATATAAATATGCATACGATTGAGCACGCATCATATAGGCATACCTCGGTACCAGGGCAGGGGACACTTGGCTTCCGTCCGCATAGGTTACAGTTGGAATCCTTCTGTTGGAGCCACCCAGGATAATCCACTGTATCTGTTAGTGTTATGTGCACAGTAGTGCTATGAACGTACACTTATGGCGTTATATACGCACTATGATTATGATTCAGTTATACGTGCACCGTAGTGCTATGAACGTACACTTCTGGCGTTATATACGCACTATGAAAATGGTTAGTACTTGACGGATTTGAACTGATGATGTGACTGTTTTGTAATTCTGTATTTAGTTAGTACTGTTGCATTACTGGTTTTGTTGCCACACTACTGGGATTTTTCTCACCCCTTTGGGGCTGCTATTTTTTACAAAATGGCAGGAGGTCGGAAGAGCATATGAAGACTTGATTACATGGATATTTGTTGTTATGTGCTGCTGTTTGGACTTTGCTATTGTTGTTTATCTGATGGATCTGTATTAAATTGAGAAGTTTAGATTATTGTTAGATTATGATTTTATTGCTGTTTTAAGACTCTTATTATTAGCAAGTATTTTGGAAACAAATCCTGGAAACGTTTTGTGAAAAGAAATGCTGACGTTTTAACTAAAGTGCTGATTTTCAAACAGCATTGCGAGCACTTTGCGAGTTCTGTTTCAAGGGGCAAACGACCTCCAATTTGTTATTATTTTATATGCACACGAAGCCCCACGTGTCTAGTTTTTGATTACAAAAACGTTACAATGGAATTTTGAAAACTTGATTTTATAATAATTTTTAAAGACAGCAAGGTCTGCCAGGAAAATAATATTTTCAGCAACTTAAGAAATTTTGAGAGCGTACTCTGATTTGTGTGAGGAACTTGATTTCAAGTATAAGTTTTCATTAGCAACATCAAAATGATTTTTCAGTAATTAAAATTTGTCGAAAGAACTCTAATTCCGCTTAGCAAACAAACTCTCTTGGATGCATACAAGGGAGGGTGTTACAAAAAGACACTTACCCAAATAGACTAATGGAAATAAGAAATAGAAGCCAAAGTTAAAAGAAAAAAATAAAATTAGAAGTGTTAGTAAATGTTGATTCTGAAGAAAAAGAAAATAAGGAGGAAACCCTATAATTTGAAGTTTACCTTGTCGACCTTTTCTTGATTGTCCTTCCCTTCTACAGCTATTATCCCATAGGTGAGCTTCATACCTTCCAGTCCATCTATGTCTATAAATAAGGCCAAAAATTAAACACGTTATTATTTTATTACTCATATGAAAATTTATATTAGACAATAAATTGAATATTCAATCAAACATATTATAGTGTGCTCTTCCAAACATCAACCTAGTCACACCGCGATATATTGATGTTCTCTGCCCAAAGGTATCCAATGCTCTTTTAGGTGCAGCTTCAACAGTAGTACTGTTTGTACTATTATCACCACTGGTGGTTTCGCATGTTGAACCCTTACCACTTCCCATGGACAATGTCAATGACTGCAGATTATTGTTAGCATTTTCTTGATACTCATAATTGCTTGAAGCGGGTACCACCAAGTTTTGCATTGGCACGAGACTATTGTTCGTGAACATGTAATGATCTAAATCATTTGACTGAATTTCATTAAAGGCTGCAAGATCTGACTGATTTTCAAACTTTCTCACACCAAGAAAATTTGCAACCTTGGGAATTTCGTTGCTGCTGTGAGTATTAATCAGATTCCAATCTGCGTAGTTGAATTAAATAATTACCCCAACATATATAGTTTAGAGAGAATACATGGCAACAAGCCAAAAACAGAAAGAGACAAACACAGGATGAGAACTTACCGTGATTTTGAAAAGAACTTTCCATGTTCTCATTGACTAATTTCTCAAGAGAAAACTGATGAGATTTAATTAAATAAAAGGCTTAATTAAGCGAATTTAAGTCACTTTTGAGGCAAACAGCAGCATACACCAAAAATTGAAAAATATAATAGTAAAAGAATCATCCAACTCAATAAAGTCAGCCAGTTTCGAAAGTTCATTTGTGAAGTTTGACATTGATAACAACACAAAATTAACCAAAAGCAACTCATCATGTTACCAATTCCTCTGCACCGGGGAGGTTTCCTCTTTTAGCAAGATTAACAGCAAGTTCTAAATTGTTTGGCTGCAAAAGTTCGAAAGAAACATTTAGAAGTAGGATCCATAGATTCCATTTAACCAAAAACACATCATAATTCACAAATTACCTGGCCGCTAACAAAACGTACAATGGCTGCCTCATTTACAGTATCAAGCAAACACCTGGCCACGTCTATTGATGGCATAACAACCCCCTACTTCGTGATAACATATATCAATCCATATTTATTTGAAATCTGCACAACAAAAACATATCAAACATTTAACGACATGTCTATCAAGAACTGAGAATATTGAATGATTATTGGAGTTTGCACACAAACCTGCATTGATACAGGAAAGTCATCAGCAAAGTCCGAAGGGAAGAACAGATCTGTTTGTTTCTTAGTAAAAGATGGTTTGCCTGATAACAAATGCCACAAATATACTAGATGGTATCAAGAAGTATGAGTTGTCATGGAAAATAACCATTTATTTGAGCATATCTCAGAAAGAATTCAATATAGTTTCACATTCTTAAAAGCATCAAAATAAAAAATTAAACCAACTACAAATTAAGCATAAATTGAGGAGCCTAACATGTGAAGTCGTTAAGATATGCACACACATTGCATCTGCCCATATTCCTCACTATCACAATCACATAAACCATAAGGTTCGTTCACATTCATTCGATGTCTACACATATACTTATCTTCTTCTAACAAAGGAGGCCCAATTCACGATACCCAAGAGACAGCCCTGCAGAATAAAAAGAGCTCTCTGAATCTCCTTGGTCAATGAAGAAAGAGTATCAACTAGTCAATCCTCACTGCATATAGAATTAAAAAGAAAATATTAAAGCCTTTCAACTAATCAATATCAAGTGACTTTTTTAAAAGCACAAGAAGTGACCTCGAACAAATTTTTCCAACAGATATATCTTTGGCCTTTTTCTGGCAATTGGTGCATTCCTAGTTTATTAACTAGAATATAACTTGCATCATAATATCTCGAATATGAATTTGAGCAATCAATAAAAAGAGAGATTTATCTAAAAAAAAGGAGAGAAAATAGTGTTAAATGTATTCTTTCAATAAATATTAAATAAATAAAAGAAATCTACCTGAATAGGAGGGGAAACATCATTTATCTCAAACGTCAAACCATCGGGAGGATCATAATGCCTGAGAAACATCCCCGAACCGAACCGCTACTTGGTTCAAGCATCGCGCCACCTGGCTCGAGCCAGATCCACCTCGCACCGAGCCCAACACGCCAGAAACGCGCTCATCGAAGCAGATCGAGCCTTTTCCATCTCGCCCAGGGACCCCTCCGCCCATATCCTCCGAGCACGAGCCCTCCACCTTATGAACCACCGTGTCACCGCTTTAAGGTCACTTGAAACTGCCCTCTCCTCGCCAGCCGCGAATTCCCTCTCCGTGAACATGCGGCGGCGAGTCGACTCTGCGGTGGAAGACCTGGTGAAGGCGGTGGGACTGAGTGGAGGGAAGAATAGTAACACGGAGGTGCTGTGTTTAATGGGAAATTGTTACAAATGGAAAGGGATGAAGACAGAGGCTAAGGATGCGCTCCGGAAAGTGTTACGAATGTAATGGGTTGAATATTCGGCCCATGAATATTAAAGCCTAGACGATCTGGTCCGGGAGACGAACACCGCAAATGGTGGTCCAGAATGAGAACCGAAGCACCTACCCTGGTGTGAACTGAGGGAAAGATCCGCCACCGACGAATGCCATTATGTTGCTATGGAAGAGTGTCTCGATGTGGCCGATTCCGCCACCGGCAAGAGCTCCCGGAATGGGTCGCAGTTGTAGACGCGGAAGCCTGTGTCGGAGGCGGCGGCAAAGCAGGCATGGTTTTGGTTGAATGAGGTTCGGAGGAGCGACGAGGGAGATTCCGGTGAAGGGGTTTTAGTTTGAGATTGGGGAAGAAATTGAAGTTTTACTTCTAAACCTAAAGATTTGAAAGTAGGATTAGGGTTAGGGTTCGGCGAAAGAGGTGAAGAAGATAAATAAAGAGTGACCATTCAGAAATAGACTTCACTTCCCAAAGGATTCTAGGCTTTCTAGAAACACCAGGCCGAGAAAGAGAAAAAAAAATAATTTGTGTTTGTTGCCAAAAAGGTAAGAGAGAGAGAGAAAGACTTTAAGTAGCTCAGGGTAGCTGTTAATCACTTGATTTAGGGTCCGTTTTTAAAATAGCCATCAAGATACCGCCTCTGTATCCCATTTTTCTTGTAGTGTGGGATCATATGATAATATGAATCCCAAGACCAATGAACTATCAAACGAGCATAGTTTGAATCTTCAAGAAGATCATTGCGACCAGAGTTTGATAATTGTCAGTCACTTAACTAATTTTATATCCATGTGGATCCTTTTCCCTACCCGGGTCGTGAGAATGCTTATAGGGACCTACCCAAAGGGTAATTATTGTTATAAAATATAAAAAATCAAGTATCTTGCATGAACCTATTATTAGATATTCAGTTACACAAGTGTGTGTGTGATTCTTTTCCTTACCCGGGTCGTGCGAATGCTTAACGGCCTAGCCTGTAACAGTTCGTTGTATACCGATATTGTTAACATTGATTATGATATTAAGCGCATTTACAATCACATCAGTTCATTAAAAAATGCGAGTAAACTTTTTCCTTTTCATTACGTAAGCATTTAAAAACAATAATAAAACGTAATGATAAAATTTGTGATCATAACTGATATCTAAATGCAGAATCATTAAAATAATTGTATAACTATCATACAATGCTTATTTTAAGTTACTAAGGGGTTCCCATAAACTCACTTAGCATAATTATCACTTTTACGGTTTGTACATAACCGAACATGGTTCAGTCATCTGAACATTGCGAGAGATTTAGTGGTTACAAGCCTCTCATATTTTAGTATGTTATTCCAGACTCAATTTTCTTTTCAACAAGGTATCATACACCCGATAAAGGTCTTGTTTGTTTTGGTTATCACCGTTTGAAGTTGGATAAGCAAAGCTGTCAGCCAACCTCAAACAGGGCACCAAACATACCTCACCATTTCTGCGATTCTAAACAAACCACTCCACCAATTGCTCTCAACTTTTTATACAGTAAAATAGACACCTTAAGCTTAAATTTAACATATCATGGGCCTAATTTTACGAAGAATAGAGGGAGAAATAAATTTCTAAAAACTGCCACCCGACAGCCCCCAAGTGCAGGGCGTTCTGGGTAGTCCTCATTCAACTGCATCTACAGGTTTGCGTACAACTCCAATGGCTACCAAATTTTGATACAACGTAGTTGACATCTCATTCTTCAAAATGGTGTATGGAACTTCCCTATTAGACCTCTATGGAGGGAGATATTCTCTCCCAAATTTGACCCAAAAACTGCCATTTTATATAAATTTCGACGACATCTCCTTTGTTTATTCAACCTATCTCACTTTATCAAAAGTGTGTTATTATCATCAAATGGTACCTAATAGACAAGGGTGGCACTAAAGGGCCAACAATGCCTTGGTGCTCTTACAACCCACAACAATTTATATCATTTACCTCACTTTACAATTCATTACTTGCTTTGTTAAACTTAAATCGTTTCAATCACCTCATTCCACATTCATGCATTCTTTCAATATACACATAGTCATAACTTAAAATAGGCTTATTGTCTTTTCATCACATACATGCTTAAATTTTACACAAGGTCCATAATTTACAAATCGCAATTCTCCAATGGTAACATAATACAAATAATCCTCCAATATACACCATGATAAATCCTCAAAATAAAACATGATAAATCATCAACTAGACTTAGGCAAAATATGGCATGAACAAAGATGACAATATGCATAATCCTAAATCAATATATATTGTTCATGGCCTAAGTCTAGCCTATGCCAAAAGTGGCCTTAAAATGCAAAAAGTCCTCTAATCTCCAAGTGCTCATCCTATGGGCCTCTTGCCCACAGCTCCAGTCCCACTGCAACTACCTGAAATAATGCCCCAAACACGAGGTGAGATATACAAATATATCTCAACAACCCAGAGGTTTTGGAGATTACTTCGTCCAATGGCTCACTCAGATGTAAATCAATAATGCACCATAACAACCAAAACGGGATAAAACAAGGGATTTAGTGAAGTAGGGATGCATAGGGAGTAAAAATACAATGGAGTTGGAATGGTCGAAGCCAAAATTACGCAACTTCCGGCCTAGTGACCTCGGCATATAGCCTACGGGCTCTCATCCAAGGAAGTGTTCCCAGAACATCAATCAAGGCACCCACCACCAATACACCCGAGACATTCCTAGAGTGCTCCTCAACAGATAACCACTCCATGACCCCAGGTCAACTGGAACTCCCTCACGGAGACCTATCCAGTGGAAGTCTGTAACTCCCGAAGGCAACTATCTACTGGCCAGAGACACGGTACATCCTATGTACCCAATATATATATACTTATGCATAAGCATATTATAACACATCATTAACATCCACCTCCAACCACTACCCCCAAGGGCATGGGGGAGCACAAACAAGGATTAACCCTAGTACCAAATGATTACCTTGTTGAAGCTCCTTCTCTAGGTAACTCCAATGCAAGGTATAACTGAGCTTGGTCCAACCAGAAATGCCTACACACAGGTCATTCCCATATCAATTAGAACCGCATACAACCATACACTTGGCTATTCAAGTATTCATGCAAATTGTCATAAACACTTACCACAATCCTTTTGGTCAAGGACCAAAGGCAATCCACCAAGCTCACCGTTCGAAGCTCACGTCAGTGGGAGGCAACCTACAATGACCACACAAGGATCATCAATCCAAAGGTGCAACCAAGTCAAAACATAAAGCACCACAACCCCACACACACACACATGATTCGGCCACAATGGCCAAAAGTACTTAGTCATGTTGTTAATTTTATTTCAACATCCCAACGGTTTCCCAAGCTCACCACAACACCAATTCAAGCCCTTAATTCCATTCAATCACATCTCAACACAATTTCCCTTAAATTCCTCATGATGGCCGAATTGATACATACACACCCTCCAATGGTTTTTCTTACAATCCAAGTGCATCACACCAACATACAACCTATTTAAACTTAGCTCCCACCATCACAACACTAATTACATAAGTTTTACAACATTTTCCCCTCACATTCCTTAGATGGCCGGATGGTGCATGTCCATATACCTAGGGGTATTCAATCCAATTTCACACTTCCACACATCATACAATCCTATAATTAACTTATACAATTACTCCACAACTCCATTACACAATCCCACAACACTTCCATTTCATAAAGTCATGCATACCAATCATAAAATTGCCTAAGTTACCAAACTTTTCACCAATAATTTTTATGATCTCAATCATCATAAAACATCATTCTAAGACACTTTTATCTAATGCACATTTTCAATTTGAAGTCCCTAACCACATCAATCCATACAAGCATGCTTTAGGTCTTCAAAATGCAATCCAATTCAAAACCAAGAATGGAGGAGAAAGCTTACTACCAATCAAGTCCAAGGCATCCCAAGAATGATTTTCAACACTTGAATGGTCCAAAATCGCCACCAACCACCCTCATTGGCCACCAAAATCGCCACCTATACAGGGAGATGATCTCCTTTTTCATTCACTTTTAAGGCTCACTCGAGGAAGGAAAGATGTTCACAAGGTAATTTGGAACAACTTTAGTGTTTTACACATTTGAATTTGGTGACAAGAATCAAAGGCAAATAGATTTTCAATTCCTTGCTTGTTCTTCCATAGAGGCCGCAACTTGCTGCAAAAATGAGGGAGGAAGGAGCCTTTTTTCTGATTTGGCACATGTGTGCATTGGCTCACTTAAGTGGGGTGGGTCCCACCACTACCTCACGCGATTCAAATTAACTCAAATCTTCCGTTTAAATCACTAAACGTTCAATAATTCCTAGACCATTTAGAAACTTCAATTTTTTAACATTCAGCAATGTCCTTTTAATTGTCCTTGATCAGATGAATCCAGAGTTTTCCGGTCGTTTGGTGAAATCAGAGTTTTAAGCTGTTTTGTGCACTGTGGGCACGCTTCCCCCAAAAACCCTAATTTCAATCAATTTTCATCAGAAATTATAATTCCTAGTCCTATATACCATTTATAACTTATTTCCAAACCTAGAGCTCAAAATTCATTCGGCACGCTTTACGGTGCAACTGTACCGCTGTGTTTTTACCAGATAAAAACACTATTCATCATTTTTCCATAAACTTGTCTAAGCACTCAATTTTTCGTTCTGAATCTATTTCCAGGATTAGTTTTCCCATTTGAGACCTTCTACTCACATTTCATTTCTTAGGGTTACGTGTTTGACAATTTACCGTTTTACCCTTTTTACGTATTTTGGTTCTGAATTCCAGATTTTCACTAATCCTACCCCTTAATCCATATTTTAAATATAATTACATGATTTAAAATTACGAGGTGTTATATAGCCCAAAGGGTAACTAGGGTTATAGAATAAAAAAAATCAAGTATCTTGCATGAACTTATTGTTGTATATTCAGTCACACAAGTGTGTGTACGTGTGTGATCTGTTTCCCTACCCGAGTCGTGAGAATGCTTAAGGGACCTAGCCCAAAGGGTAATTAGGGTTATAGAATAAAAAAAATTATCTTATATGAACCTATTGTTGGATATTCAGTTACATAAGTGTGTGTATGTGTGAACGATTATTATTCCCTGTTGAGCTTGAATTTGCTTCAATAAATTCCTTCCTCATAAAAACTCGGCTCTTTAGGCTCATCCAATTCCATCTCACACCCTAACATTAGATCATCGAGCTCATTATAATAACTCGAACATGTATAATGAGTAATTAGGGAATTATGCCATGTTTTTATGAGAATAATTAGATAAGAAATCTAATTTTGAGAATTAAATTGGATATAGAATAATTAGATAAGAAATCTAATTTTCTTGAATTTTGCCACAAAGGGGTAAGTTCATGATTAAAATATTGTGTTAGTTTGCTATCCATTGACTTGATGTACACCTCTTAGATAAATTATTGGTGAACACATTCTTACCTGGGCCATGGGTTGTCTTGGTGTTGAGAAGTGATTGTGTTCGATTTACAATAAAGAAAGCATAAAATGAAAGTTCTACAACAAGTAATCTTTTGGACCTTGGGGTTAATCCTCGTGTATGTTCTACCATATTCTCTTTAGGAGTAGTGGTTCTTAGATAAAAGTGCATGTGGTATTATAATATAGTGACATACATCATGAGTTGAGAATTATGAGTTATGCATTTGAGTTATAATATGATGAACATTAATAATT